AAAGAACCAAAGCCTTTCCCGGCTTTCCTTCCCGATCACTCTCCTCCCACCTGCTGCCTCCCTGAGGGTTGCCAGCTCACCTGTTGTTTCCTTGTTGTTGCTTCCCAGCAGAAATGTGAGTACAGCTCAAAATTAAAAGAGCAAGTATATCGGTGCTCCCGAATCACGAGTTAAAAAACAGCCCAAAGAAATGGGATCTCTTCTCTCAAGTGTAGCGATAAGGCGTTTAAATGCCAACATGATAAGAACAAGATAAATAATAGCAACAAGCCCTGTGATGCACCCAAAATGTCAGGCTGGCGCCACATGCTGTCCAATGAAATGTTTTTGGATGATCTAGGGGCTGGGAGGAGAGTATATACTTTTCATTCATACAATTTATTCCTTGAAAATGCCAAACTGCTATGAAACATTTCTTTCGCTGAAGTGTCTGGCTATCTGGTGCTTACAGTCTCGGCACAGACACTGCCCACGGATGAACAGACGTCTCGTATTTCATCTGTCTTTGTTCAGGGCTGCTTGGGGCATATCTCCTTGGCTGCCAGCATCACCAGCAGTCCTGGAGGGCGGGGCTTAGAGCATCACTGGCTCCACTGTTATCAATAGGCTAAGGTAGCCCCACCCTCCACTCACCAGAGGTCTTTTCTCTTCTCTTCTCAAGACTCAGAGGGGAGATGAGATAACTGAAGTCATTCTGACCATTATCCTAGCCAGAATTTTCCTCTTCCTCAAGGGAAAAGCTTTTGTCTATACGTAGGCCCATTAGGTATTTTTGAACATAGGCTGTGTGACACATCATTAGTGGAATATAGTCTAAAGAGACATACAAAACAATGGTGACTTCCATTTAGTGTCTTAGTGTTAGTAACATTGACATATTTCATTATACTAGATTTTACTGATACTATTTGGAAGTTATATATTATACTTATAAATAAAGTGGTTATGTTAATGTTGTAATTATCTTGATGACAATATTAAGAACCATCATTTTCACTGTAAGAGAAAGATACCAGTATAAATTTTTTTGAAAACTTAGTAAGTTACTTTTAATTAAGTTTGAACTATTTGAATATTTGGAATTTGATATGTCAAATATTAAAATATATTTGAACTTGAGATCTGAATATAAATTTGTTTTTAAAACATTTAAAAATTTGAAATGTTTTAAAAGTGAAAATGTTAACATACCCCCGTTTCATCCACTAAAAAGACCCAGTAGCAATGACAACTCGTGAGAATGTTAGCATGTTAGCATCAAACTATGGTCTCTGAATACTATTCCCTACTAAAAAGGACCAGTGATTCTTGCAGAGATCGCTGGTTCCAGATGCGAAGTGGCAAAAATGACAGGCAGAGACTAGATCATCTTGTTATGCTGAAAAGCAAGGAGGTTGGCCACTGGCTAAAGGTGCACAATTTTTCCATCAAAAGGAAGATGATGGCAGCTGTTTGAAATACACAGCTAATAAATGTAGGAATGACAGAAGTAGAGTAATTCATTATTCTGTAACATCTAATGAAATAATTGATCCAGGCAATAAACAGCTATGGATGTGAAACCTAAGAAGCCAAATATTAATGAGGAACTAGATATTCCAAGGGAGCCAAAAGGTTACCCTCCAACTTTGCACCTACTGATTAATCGATCAACTGGCATCTTTAAAAGGAGGGCAAACAAGTATTGCGTACTTTCTCATGCGGGGTCATATGAAGTACGGAGGATCACCTGTGAAGTACCCCGGCCAAAACTGTTAGCCCTGAATCTCAAGCCTTTATATCTAACTTCCAGTTATAGAAACATAGGAGACGGATAACAAGTTGGAAAAAATTCAGCAAAATCCAGAATGTAAGGGGACAGTTGGCCCAGACTCTTTAAGAGGCCACTGCTTGAGAAAAGGGTGATGGGGGGGATGACTGTGCCAGAAAAAAAAGAGGCTGAAGAGACCCGTCAACTTCAACAGCAGCAGCAGCAACATTCCCTTATGTTAATTCTATGTCTTGAATTTGCATATGTGTTTCAACAAAGGACTGTGGTTGGCTTGCTGACTGACTTAGTGTTTCTACGAACCTCTAGTGAAGAATGTAGCTGGCTAGGGTTTCCTGTGCTCCCTCCCAAAGCCTCTGCCTTCCACTCCCCACCCCTAACAGAATCCAGAGGGGTAAGTTCACAAAACTAATAGCAAGAAGAGGGGCATAAACAGACAGAAATAGTTCTTACTCAAAATAGTTTCTTGGAGGCAGTTTTGGATTCTGCGTTGCGGGCTTGGTCACAGAGTCAAATGCTGTAATAAAAACCAGATAATTTTGTGTTCAACAATAAGGTATAATTACATATGCTGAGATAAAAGCAATCAAATATCACGCTCTGTCTGTGATGGAAATCACTGCGTGCTGTGCAGGACTGTGCTGCAGGGGTCTAAAATGAAATTCCCCCCGAACTGTGTGTAGAATATTAATAGTTGATTAGAGTTCTCTGAGTGTCAAATATAGGTAGATCTAGTGGGAACAGTGGTCCAAAATACAAACCCCATTTAACCAGGCTATTCAGAAAGTACAACCAGTAATTCTTGTACCATGTCTGGTATCACTTTACATTTGATTTGAATGATTCTCTCATTAAATTTCTTCTCTTCCCTTCTGTTCCTCTGTCTCCCTTACCCACCTGTTCACATACATACAAAAACCACATATATTATTATATTCTTATGTCATATGTGGTCGTTATCTCAAATCCTCATATCCCCAACCAACTGCCTAACACTGACTGCCTTAATTTTAATATCAGATTTAATACCAGATGACACTGAGCAGAAAAACCTTTTGTAAACAACCATTTCTATGCTTTAACCCAGAAATTCCACTAGTAGGTATTTTTTCCTTAAAAATATGTAGTTAATTTAGGTAAAGATTTAAGATGTTTATCACAACATTACACACAGTACAGGAAAAACTGGAAACCATCTAAATGCACATCAGTAAGGTGCTCCTATGCTGTGGGATACTGTGTGACAGTTAAAATGAGACAAAACTATTCATATTAATGTGGGAAAATGTTTGGGATAATCTGCTGAATGAAAAAAAGTAAACTGCTAAACACTAGGTATAATGAAATATTTTAATAAACAACAATAAAACACGTATGTATATGTATAGAAAAAACTCTAGAATTACATACATGCTATTTACAGAGGATACCTCTGGGTGGCAGGACTGCAGGCTCTTTTACTTTCTATTTTCAACATTTTTTTATTGTATGAGTTACTTTTGCAATACCGACAACTTTAATAAGTTTTATTTAAATGTTACATGAGAGGAAAAATTCATAAAACATACTGTAGACTAGAACCCCTTACTATTTCTAAAAGTTTTCTTTCTCAGTGTATGAAGAAAGAATGGGGTAGTCATTCAGTGAATCCATGTCCTTGTCTATAAAACTTACTTTTTCAAGGAATTCTGTCCTAATATATTATACCTGAATAATTGCTCCTTGGCCCCATTATCCCCTAACATTCGTGACTTTGGACTTGCATGCCTATATATATTATTTTTCAAATATTCCTAAGTAGTTTTTACACGTATATGTTCTAGATCCTCAAATGTGTAAAATCCTTGGTTATTGCCTTTTCTTTCTATGGTATAGTTTTCTATGATCAATAAACACTAAGGATTTTGTGATTAATGGGCTAATTCAGGGGTCATCAAATAATGGTCTGTGAGTGAAATCTGACCAACTACATGTTTTTGCACAGACCATGTGCTAAAAATAATTTTTACATTTTCAAATGATTAGGGAAAAAACCCAAAAGAACAATAACATTTTGTGACATATGAAAGTTATGTAAAATTCAAATTTCAGTGTCCAGACACGTTTTATTGGAACACAGACACATTTATTTGTTTACATATTTTCTGTGGCTGCTTTCATGCTATAATATAAAAGTTGTAATGAAGACTGTATGTCCCACAAAGCCCAAAATATTTACTAGCTGGTTTTCACAGAAAAACTTTGCCAGCCCCTGAGTTAGCATAATGTGTGTAAGTAGCATCAGAAAGGTCCTTTTAAAAAAAATCTGCTATTGTAGGATGCGTTTAGTAGTTTGCTGGATTGCATCATTGTTCTCAATTCTTCTCTGCTGCTTTCGTAATAGGATTATACATCCATATTCTTATGCACATGACATTGCAATGTCTTCCCGTAAAGAAGACAGTATACACCCTTGCCCCAATGTCTTTAAGCTTGGTCATGGTATGCTTTGGCCAGTGAAATATCAGCAGAAACGATGTGAATGAGGCTTTAAACGTGCTTGCATAGTTTGACATGGATTTTTGGGTGTCTGTGGTCTGCCAAGAGGTAGCAGCCATCCGTCCAGCTAACCACTGGTCCCAGAGTGAGAGACATGCAGAACATACCTGAACTTGAAGCAGAGTCAATTCAGTCAGGGCAAAGACTCGTGAGTGAGAAACGAATGCTGCTAAGAATCATTGAGGTTTGCAGATTATTTATTATATGACAATCTGCCTGATACTCTGGGACTTACCACTTGTTAGTTATGGTGTGGTGTGTGTAGCTCTTCTATGCTAAACATATAGAAACTGGAAATCTCATTAGATTTAGGAAGAAGTAATATGGATTACCCCAGGTAACCAGTAAATGCAACATACTTATACTGCTTTATGAGTATAGTTATAAGCTTGAGAAAAGTCTGTTTTTTTCACCAAGCTGTTCTAATGCCTTGAAATCACATTTTCAGTGGGCTATTGTCCAACAGTATGAAAGCCAGTTGGTTGCTGTTAAAATGAACAAGCTGAACTTCTATGTTTCTTTCTCCATTTCCCCACTCCTCTTGTTTGAGGCATGATGTGATGTGTGATTTTATGCATTTCTGTATATCTGATTTTCAAGTCTTGAAATGTGACTATATTTTTACCTGTAAAATGGGACACTTTTCTTGATAAAAAATTTTGCTCTATTCTAAACCTATACAAATTTGGTGCTCTTTCCCATAAGTATTTAGAATCTGGTTATATTACTGGAGATGTGTAATTTTCGTAAGGCAAGGTTTCCTAACAGTGGCACTATTGACACTTGAGGCTGGAAAACTACTTGTTGTGGGTGGTTGTCCCCTGCGCGTTACTATTTTAGTAGCACCCCTGACCTCTATAAACACTGGATGCCAGCAGTGCCTCTCCGATCCACCTACTCTTCCCCATCCTGTGCAGTCACTGATGAGCAAACATGTCTTCAGACATTTCTGTATGTTTTCTGGGAGGTGAAATCACCCAGATGAGAACAGCTGCCCTAAAAGTAAATTTTAACGTGGTGGTTACACATTATAATAATCCAGTAAGTTTTCTTTTTTTACATCTTGTTTTGAAATAACTACAAATGTACAGAAAAATCGCAATTATAGTACAAAGAACGCTCATGTCCCACTTGCTAACATTTGCCAGATGTACTTTTTCTTTTTCTTTCCCACTTTTTTTCTGAATCATTTGGGACTAAGCTGCAGGGAGGATACACTCTTACCCCTTAATACTAAGTATGTATTTCCTAAGAACAAAGCTATTCTCTTGAATAGTCACAGTATGAGTAACAAAAACAGGAACTTCAATATAATACAATATTATTATTCAATCCACAGTCCATATCCGACTTTTGCCAATTGTTCCCCAAAATGACAATGCTTTTCACAGTCCAGACTCCAGTGAAGGACACATGTTGTATTTTGTTATCATGTGTTTTAGTCTCTCTCTCTCTTCTTTTTTTTTTAGAGTTCTGCAGCTTGCTTTATCTACCTAGTGGTACATCCTACACACCTTTCCCTAATTCTTTACACCAGGTATGTATATATAGATGTACTATAACTCTTTGACCACCACTGATTGATGTTTTGGTTGTTTTGTGGCTTCTTTAAAAATATCTTTGTTATTACCAACAATGTTGAGATAGATATCTATGCACATTTTCCCAGGGCACGTGTGCTTGTGTATCTATAGGCTAACTTCCTAGCAATGACACTAAATATCCTTTAAGAATTAATCTCCTTTAATCTAGAGCAGTTTCTCAGACTTTCACTGGTGTTTAAACCTCAGTATTTTTCAAGAGTACAGACTACTTTTTGTAGAATGGCTTTCAGTTTGGTTGTGTCTGATATGTACCCATGATTAGATTCAGGTTGTGCAATTTTGGCAGAAACATTATGAGAGCAATGCTGTGAACTTCTCAGGGCATCTCGTCAGGAACCATGAGATACAGGTTAAAGCCTTTATTGGTGATGTTAACTGATCATCTGGTCAAGGTGGTATATTAGTTTTCTAGGGCTAGCCTAACAAGTTAGCATGAATTGGGTGGCTTAAAACAGAAGAGCCTTCTCTCACAGTATGGAGGTCAGAGTCCAAAATCAAGGTGTTGTCAGGGCTGTACTCCTGGAGGTTCTAGGGTATAATCTTTCTTCCTTGCATCTTCCAGCTTCTAGTGGCTGTCTGCATTTCCCGTGGCTGCCTCATGCCAACCTCTGCTTCTATCTTCACATGGCCTTCCTCCTCTTCTGGTCTCTCATAAACACACTTGTCATTGGATTTAGAGCTTGAGTAATCCAAGAGGATTTCATCTTGAGATCTTTAACTTAACTACATCTGCAAAGACCCTTTTTTTCCCCAAATAAGGTCACATTCAAAGATCCTGGGGGTTAGAACGTGGAAAAATCTTTGGGGGGCACCATTTAAGCCAGTACAGGTGGTACCTGCCAGGCTTTTTCACTATTTTTCTTTTTTTTTTTATTAACAAGTAATTAATGGGAAGATACTCTGAGACAATGAAAATATTCTATTCCTCATTAAACTCTCACCCATTGGTTTTAGCATCTATTGACGATTCTTGCCCAACTGGTGATTTTTTAATTGCATTATTCCGTCCGTCTCCATTTACTAGTTGGTGTTCTATTGTAAGACCCTTTCCTTCCTTCCTTCCTTTTTTATATCTATACTGACTTATTTTATTCAATGGGTTATAAGCTACATTGTTCTTTTATTTTCATGCTCAAACTTTCCCAAATGTGGCCATCGAGCGCCCCATCAAGTCGGCTTCTGTGTTCCTGAACATGACCCCCACCATTCTTTGAGCAACTTTCTTTCTGGCACAAGAAAATGTTCTAAGCTTGTTTTATATTTTTCCCATCTTGGCCCTAGAATCAGCCACTTCACCGAGGATCTTTAGTTTCTTTTGGTGGGGAATAATATTTAAAAGCCAAGATCTATGTCTGAGAAGCCTTTTTAAATACAAAAATTTGAGCCCCACTTTCAAAGACTGTAATTCACAAGTCCTTGGGTAGGGCCCAGAAATGTACATGTGTGTGTGTGTGTGTAAAGTTTCTAGTAGCTTTGCTACACGGCAGTGTGTGAGAACTACAGCTCTAATGCATTTGAGGCATGACTTAGTTTACACTACATTTTTCAAAGCACATTTTTTATCTTAAGGGACAAATAATTGCCTCATACCTTAATTACTGGATACCAGAAATCTAAGCAAGATAAAACCTACACTATCTGAAACATGTATCAGACATCAGATGTCAGTGATGGATGTCTAAGATAGAAAATGTGTTCCATAATGTAAAATAATTATTGATTACAAAATCAAGTCAACTTAGATTCAAGTCTAGATGTAATTATAATCTCAATTTAAAAAGAAAGTGGAAATTTTACTTTTAAATTGCATTCATCTGACTATAATCTCTCTCTCTCTCACACACACAAAAGAATACATCACTCTGTGGGAAGGGATGCAGGGAATACAAGAGTTTTCACAATGGAATAGAAAAATCATTTATTTCAATATCCGTTGCCTGACTATCTTCAATAATAGATAACTCACAGAAGGAACAAAATTACTTCAGTGAAGCCAGACTGTAGTGTTGAAAAGTTATATCACATTTTGGTATTGAACGTGAAAAAGCATTTTTCCCATATGAAATTTTGGGTTAATCTTTTTTTTTCATTCCTTAAAAAAAAAACAATAAGTGCATTCCAGGAACTAACACTTATATTTTGAGGAAGAAGTTCTTGTTCTATCTACAGATAATCAGTGTATATATTGAGACTTGGAGTCTGTAACTTTGCCTTTGTGAAAAGGAACACAATATACCTCCTTTTTCAGATGGCAGCACTTTGATCGCCCGCTGAGAATCACTGAGGTTAGTTAGAAGAAAATCCCCCATGGGAGTTAAGAATGGTAATTCTTATTATCAACAAATAATGATCGTTGTCATTTTTGAGCTTGTACCAGGAATTGTACATATCATCTCTATTTCTGAATCACGTAAGTAAGCATCGATAAATGAAGTCACTTGTCCAAGGTCACATAGATCGGAAATGGCTAAGGCAGGACTCAGGCCCAGTCAGGAGAGACCAGGTTATGTTCAGTAACAAACATCTGGCAAATCCCAGCAGCTTGTAGTGACAGAGGTGCAGCTCAGGCTACGCTGGCACCTCGGTTTGGCTGTGGCTCTATGAGTTTCATCTCCATCCTCAAGCCCTGGCTGACCGTGAAGCCTCTGTCTGGAATAATGCCAGGAGCTGCAGCAGACGGGAAGGAGGACTGCAAACCACAGGGTGGCTCTGAACCCTTCCACCTGACAGAGGAACAAAATGGTTTCAGTGCAGCCAACTGCAGCGTTCAACCGCTATGAAACATTTTGGGTTTGAACATCGGTATTTGCATTTCAATGGCCAGAGCAAGAGAGGCCAAGTTTGATGTCAGTGAGGTGGGGAAGCAAAATCCTCTCACAGGTAGGGGCAGCAAATATTTGTGACTGTAACCAGCTTACCACACACTGATATGCAGGTGGCATAATGTAACCTTAAGCCAGTGCAGCAGTCCCTGGTCTCAGCAACTGGTCCACAGTGTGAAGCAAAAACTTGTTCAATGGTTTGGAAAAGAGTTGACCTTGCTCTTTCTCTAATAAGGAGCTGCTGCAGCCATTTTTCTGCTGGGAGTAAGTGTGACAAAAAGTCTGCTGATTTGTGCAGGAAGGCAGTCAGGAGAAGTGGAACCCCAGCACCGAGGATCCCATGAATCTCTGGAACAGCTCACCCTGGGGGTGGTCCCACCTCTGAACTTTCCAGTGATAAATCCCAATAAATTCCCTTAGGTTGAACCAGTTTGAAGAAGAACTTCTATTACTTCAATTTCTAATTGATAATATTAAAATCCAAGACCTAGCAAAGTCCTAAACTTTGTCTTGGAAGAAGCACACATGTATATGTGCATGATATACTTAATTTTCTACAAAAAGCAATGTAGTAATACTATGACAATTTTGAAACTAAGGAGGAAACTATCCATAACCATACTACCCTAGAACAGGAACTACTCATCAGGTCTGGGTATGTTCTTCCACTTCCCCCTCCCCACCATGTGCACTGACTTTTATATAAGTTGTGTTAAAGCATACAAATCATTTTGTGTCTTACCTTTTCACTTAAATGTATATTTGAATTCTTCTCCCACATTGCTACCTAATATTATATGGATTGCTGGAATAGCTACAAAATATACAGCACTTGGCTGTAACACAGTATCGATGAAAATTTCCCTAATCTTGGACATTTAGGTTGCTTCCAGTCTTTCACTTTACAGGTAACAGCGCCACATACAGAAATGCGTGTGCGTGGAGAACAGTGGCAAGGGCACACAAGGCGCTATGCCACTGGGCGCTCTTCTTTAGGCCTCTGAACAGCCCCCTGGACCATCAGGTGACGAAACGCACAGACTCGGGCAGGCGTTGGGCTCTGCCTACTGCATGTCACTGATCTAGATACCCGCAGATGTGGACCTGGTCTTACTGTGCTGTTAAAAAAAAAAAACTGGCATAAATATTTTGAAATTTTTCACCATAATAATGAATTCTGATTTGGAATAGTTGGTTAAAATTCAGAAGATAGTAACTTACAGGTGGAAGCGAGTAGGAGAGGGAAACTTGCAAATGCATCAGTACTAAGTCAGAAATAAGTGCTACTGAGATATATCAACAAAGATTATAGGCAAAAGCCAATCTTTTTTGTACTAAAGTCCTCCACTGGCGTGAATTGCTCACATAAATCTGTTTGGCCACTGTCCTGAGGAGGTTATGCTGAAAGGGGCAGATCTTTACTGTTTCCCGAGAGTCTGTGTACTGCCCTGTGCGGGTCACATGGCTCTGCCGGCCTGGCCTGCTCTCTGGCCTCCGAGGGCTCTTGTCTCTGGTCCAGAATCCTCCCGTAACAACATTCCTGTGCACTTTCCAGTGAACCTGAGATAATATTTCCCTTGCTTGCTTGAGATTTATATTTATATCTGTCTGTTATAAATAATTAAAAGGGGCTGACGTGGTTATTCAAGAGTAGTGTCCAGGCAGTTCTCCAAGTCAATTTATCTTTCTCAGTCTCATTTAAAAACTGGAAGACTGGTGGACTCTTGATTAGATGTTGAACTTTTTGGCTCTGCTTATCTTGGTCTGGAGGTACAGGATCACAGCTGTTGATCTTGACACCTGTTTCTCAGTCCAGGTCCTGAACATGATTTCTCGACAACTGTATTAGCAAAAGCATTTAGCCTGTATCCACAAGGCCATTAAAAGCAGAGCTGGATAGTTTGTTTAGTGGATCCGATTTCGTAAATTAGGGAATCCTTCTTTGGCAGAGTGTGGGCTGGTTCGGGACAAAGTGGTGGTATGTAGTGGAGCCAGAAGGATGTATATTAGTAACTTCTGAGCGGAGAACCACAAATGGGCCTCGATCTTCAAAAGAAATGTAGTAAGAAAGTATCTCCCAAGAGTGAAGTTGGTCAAGCAGGGCCTCCCAGGGAGCGGCGACAGCATCTCCTCTGAGATGATGTGAGTGTAGCTGACCTAAAAGTGAGGGGATTCACAGTTCTCAGGAAGGGGGGAAAGGATGAGAACTACCAATAAAAATTAGGCCCTGGAAGGCAGTCAGACAAAACGCAATCCCTGCCTGCAACCTTTATACATAATCACTGAGTGAATGAGTAGCTGGTGCAAGCACTTTGACTGAAATGACTGATTACTAACTTATATCTTTGGCTAAATTCTATTCAAAGAATATAGAGATGTAACAGTGTATCTTTTCACTGAGAAATTTTTAATGTTTTCATTTTCAACCAGTGGTTTTAGTATTATTTTAGACAATGCCTTAGAGCTTCTTTTTTTTTAAAGTATTTTTTCCCCCAAAAAACTCCAGTGTGATACCAAGAACATTTATCCCCCTATAATTCAAATTTGGGGTGATGCCAAAGCCTGTTACAGGATTTCATTCTGATACTCAATCCTGAATATTTAATGTAGACCAACATGTCTTTATTCTTTTCCAACAACTGCCAAGCCTTCACAGCAGCACCACACAAGAGACTTGTTTACAAAGCCTTTGCTCCCAGCCTCTCTTAGGTCCCCAGAATGTAAGCTGCCTGCGGGCAGA